TTGAAGAAGTCATCAAATCACACCTTAAATCAACAAACTAAAGCACTGACAAAAGTTAAGTTAGTCCAAGTGTTTATGCGACGATGATGATGACGACTGAGACGACTCAGACTAAGTTAGACAAAGACAGTGAAAAATGATTCATATGTATGTTTAATATTTAAACATATGTATGACACACAATTTCATGCACTTGCATATGAATACATGAAAAACATCATCATCAATATGTATGTGGGCATGTGCTTGTGCATGAAAGTTTAAGCAAACACATCTATGTGAACAGAGTAAATTATACGCTTAGAGTCAAATATGTGTGCGTATAGAAGGCAACGACGATTGCATTTATATTTTATATACGTGTATATATGTATGCATGTATGTATGTATATATGTATGTATAGGAAACCAAAAAACCTAAACGATATAATTCAAAAGTTAAATATTAAAAATATATGTGCATACATTGTATTCGTAACTCTGAACATTGTACGCTACACATAAGAACAATCGTATGTAGTTACTGCTGGTAGCGAGAAATCATTTTTAATGATTTATTCGAAAATAAACGGGCAAAGACTACAAACCCCAAGTGTGTGTATACACATACATACAAGTAGAAAGATGGATGAAAAAAATAACATATGGGCAGGATTACAAATTAAAGAGCGTCAGTTTTCAACTTGAAGTGTTAACTAAGGCGACGGCAAAGGGGTTAAGTGTATAAAGCATTTTATGACTGCAATTTCTATTACAACAAAAATACAAAAATGTTTTCCTTAATTAATCTAAGAAAGACGTAAATTAAGGGAAAACTCATCCTGGTTTAGGATGAATTTTGCATTCCCATCGCCACATGCTCCTTTCGATTTTGTTTTTTGCTTGTTCTAAGTGCAAGTGTATCGATGCAGATTTCAGATACATGCATGATTCTTTTAATTGAGATCTGCTACCAAGCTGATAACAATTTCTGAAACTCTTTCAAGACTTTTATAGGTTTCTGATTAGAAATTCGTGTTTGAAGGCTTAAGACCGCATTGAATGGTTATTTCTGGGCGTTAGTCAGTCAATGCTTTGCAGTACTTATTTGTGTGTTCATCAACATCCTCTCATTCTTTCTCTTTCTCTCTCGCTCTCTAATACTTTGTAAAAACATATTTATATATGTATATAATAACAACAACGTATAAATTAAATTTTCAAAATAATACCTTGGCATTCCCCTGGTGTGGAGTATGATAATGCGAGAATGTTACGGTAAAAGTAATCGACCACGAAAAGATAAATTGTAACACGTGCATACATACGTATATAGGTGATAAGTACAATTTTTAACTGGCGCTGCCGCACGCATATACCGCATATATATTAAAGCTTTTTCCCTCTTTATGTAAATTTTATTTTATCGGTGTTTGTTTTGGAAAATTTCTTAACATAATTCTAATAAAAAGTCACATTTGTTACAGTTTAATATCGATGTGATTAGTTATAGTTTTAAGTTTTTATATGTTATTTAATGATATAGGGCAAAGAAAAAAAAACCAGTTTAAATTTCGAACAAATTAATGGGGCGATAATTAAGATAAATTCCGCTGACACCTTTTTATATAAGAGAGATAAAAAAGAACAAAGAATTCTTATGGAGCAAGTTACGGAAATATTAAAGAAATGATAATTAGACAAATCGTTATGAAGTTTCGGAGGTAAATAAATAAAAAACCTATAGTTAACCTAAGGTGGGCAGGAGATATGCATCATTCAGTAGATGTGCTCGTGTAGTGGATGATCCTTATTGTAAACTGCACTGTAGGTCGTTTTGTATAGAAACGATCGGCGGAAATCCTACAAAGAACGCTTGTACATAAAGCTGAGATGGGGCCAGCTCTTTAGAACTGCCTATCATCCGATCTTCTCTTCATCGATCGATATTTCCCGCTACTAACATATAAATATAGTCTATTATAAAGAAATTCCTATCTAAATATGGAAAAGACCATCTTGTCTGTTTAAATTTCATGTCATTTCGATCGATTTTATTATTTTCGACAAAGTGAGAAATCCGAATTTTTGATGGGAAACAAACACTGCCTTGAGAAATGTTACGGCAACGCTTCTCCGAAGGGATCGACTATTTGACGATGACTTGCTGATTTTGAATGGACACTAATGATGTCGAATGAAATGGACGCCTAAAGGGTTTGCTTACAGCAGAATAAATAAAAACGGCATTCAAAGTTATTCCCGGTAACTGAAAAGTGAAGTTTCAAGAGATAGCTGACATCCTGAAGGTATTAAAAAAGCGCATTGTACGCGTGATTTTCCATAAAATGAACGGATCGTGTTCCAAATATGTACTGCTTTTACTTGCAGTAGTATATGCACATCTTTTCAAAAATCAATGACCGCAGGGACAAGCTCGCATATATACAACTTCGTCCCCGCGCCTTCCCATCCGTCCAGTCCCTAACGCTTGTTATGTGTTTGTAAATCTAAAAAACCATGCCCCTGAGAAAAGATTTGAGTAAAATGCTAGCGTCATCCCCTCTGCGCGACAGATCGTTCTACAAAGAAGTTGAAGAAACTTTGATTTGACTGCATCAACCTTAAAGCAGACTGTCTGGGTGAATAAGATTGAATTTTGCAAGATAAGTAATTCTTCTGCTTACTAAGTCTCGGTATGGACCGATGTATATATGCATGTGTCGCTATTTAGGTTTTTGTGGTCAATTACTTTTACCCTAATATTATGACAAAACCTTCCTCAGTAGAATAAATCTGGTTTCAAATTTATTTTACAATTAAAATATCTTCGTTTTTCATTAAAACAAAAAAACACTGTTCAATCGAAACCGCACAGCCCTTGATTTAAAAGATTAAATTTGGCCTTCAATATCTTCGTAATAAAATCTATCTGTCAAGCTTGTAAATTAGCTACATCGTCCAAAATTGTCAAAAATTCACGTTTTAAAGGAGATGGAGTACGCGAATATGTCTTCGAATTGTTCCCATTAACTAGAACGTTCTGCCACCGCTAATTTATACCTAATTGGAGATGTATACGGTATACACAATACGATGTACGATCGATATTTCGATTTCTATTTTATGTTGCAAATAACTACTGGATGTATGAATATGATTCCGTTCTCCTTTGAGGCGAGAAGGCAAGTAGTATAGTAGAGTGCTCAATAGAAATCTGAGGTTTTCATCTGAAACTCCTATTTTTGAGTTGTACGTGACTGTGTTTTTTTCTTTTTTTGTGTTACGACCAGCCACTCAGAGGATACGCCCTGTACTTGCGGGCATTGTGGTGATCAGGAAAAGTCATAGGACGAGAGGTATGGAGTAAGTTAGTAGGCATGCACCAAATAGTTTCTTGAAGTTTTGAGATATAAATTTTATGTCACAAAATCCCGTTTGCGTGTTTAAACGTTTGTGTGTTTAAACGTTTCCTTTGTGTCTACGATGATACCGTAATGTAGACTCCCTTTTGGCTCAAAAAGATCGGTTATTCATATTTATGTTCCTTTTAAAGACGCCAGAAACAGTGCATAGCCTTTTTGCCATTTTTATATAATAATCCGTCAATTTTACAAAAAAAATCGGGACTTAAAATTGTTCACAAATAGAGGGTTCGGGCGAAGTCGAAAACGTTTTGCTTCTTATTTCCACCAGGAGTCAGCGAAATTATGCTTGAAAAAAATCCCAATCGCAGAACGACGCCGACATACACAATATTTTAGAATCATTGCCTGATGCTGTTTACAAGGTTACGTCTTCAAGCCTTTTACACGTCCAATCTTGACAAATTCCTCAAATTATTTGACAGTATTTGTTTTGAACAGTAGTTTCATTATTTTTCGGGTAAGGAAAAAACCAGGCATTGTACGAAACAATAATGTACTACTAGTGAGGGTCTCAGACTAAAAAACACGGGCATGTAACATAGGAAAAGAATATTGTGACAATATCGAAGAGATTATGGTCAAGATTATGGTTTGTCACTTAAGAACCGTTCTCCACGCAACGGCATTCATTCTATTAGTGCGAACTAGGCACGGGGTAAGGTAATGATGGGAAAACCTTTTCTCTTGTTGAAAACTGACTAGTGGGCAATGATACGTTCTTTCCAGCCTATTTTGAAGTTCATGCTTAAAAGTTCTTTCAGAATAACGTAAAAAAGGGACAGGGAAATATTCCTTACATCTCTTAACCGCTATATGTTGCATACAAAAGATATATCAAAATGCGAACAAGTTTTAGAATTATGCAAAAACCAAGCCGATGTAAAATCAGGCTAAAAAGAAAGACAGGGAGATAATAATATCAGCGTGTTTTTTTTTTCTTAGCCAAATATATGATGCATTTGGAGTTTACTCTCCCACTTTCAAGTATTTCCAGTGAATAATTCAAAACAATAATCAGCTGTAATGTTGTACAAGAAATTCTAGCAGTTGATGGGATTCTGTTTCTCTCTGAGAAACTTATTGCTTTTGTTATGAAAAAGTATCTTTAAGATACTTCTTACACAAGTAAACATTTATCTTGTTTTTATCATATATACATACACAAACGCACTCGCTCACTCTCTCTTTCTCTCTCTCTCTCTCTCTGGTCTAATGAAGGCAAGAGTACTGCACACATAAATAGAACCAGCATGGAAGGCAATGCACCCCAACCTGTAAGCGAATTCATCTATAGACATATGTACATGTTTACGGAATTCGCTGCATTAAACATTTCTATGTACTTTTCATATCTCATCAATGAGCCACTCTTGGCAAACAGTTTGTTTCAGTTACTGCCCGGGAACGGTTGGTGTAAGCGCTTGAATTGTTCGCGATATGTTTATACAGATGTAGTGAAGAGAGAATTGTGTAGATCAAGTCTAGTGTGATGAAATGAAAATAATTAAAAAAAAAAAAAAAATATTAATTGAAATAAAATTTAAAATTATTAAAATATAAGAGAGAAAAAAGATTTGCGAAAAAATTTTTTTGTTTACCAAAACTAAAAATATTATCCGAAATAAATTTGAAAACAACCCCCAAAGGAAATAGAAAACCGCCATTAAGAGCCTAAGCCTGTTAACGGGACGCTCGCTTGTCTGCAAATTGTATATAAAAAATATGTGTATTTCTACATATGTAACAGCATACACGGCATACAGAGGTATATGAAGAAATACATAAACGAGTGTATATGTGTACCGGTACGCAACTTAACGTAAGGTAAGGCCTTACAGCAAAGAAACATAGATCTGATCCTAAAAATAAACGTTTCTCTTTAAAGGAAAAGAAACATACATAACTAAAAATTTGTGTATTAGTTTACGTGCACTACATACATATGCACATGCAAACGCACGTATAAAGTTTTGCATTAAAAATATTTACAGATTAATATTAATGTTCAAGTAAAATGCTTATGATTACAGTTAGTGTGCGTGCTATTGTATTACTCATGTCTTGAACGCGTTATCGTCTTTGAGTAAAGAAGAAAAAGAAAATTATACATTTATACACCTACGTACATATATATACACTGTGTACTGAATGAGAGTATTTTGAAAATTGTGTAAGAAAAAAAAAAAAAAATTAAAAAATTGAAACGAAGTTCAAGTGGAAAAATTTTAAATTTTGTGTTCATTGCATTTAATATAAAAAAAGAAGCCAGAAAGGCAATCCAGTTTAAAACGGATGCTAAAAGAAAAACCTATTAACTTTAAGAATTAGAATAAAAAAAAGTCGCCGCCCAAAAGGATACACGAGGTTTGTACGAGATTTGTTTTTCTTATTTATCGATTAAGAAACTGTTCTTAAAAGCCTTAATAAGTTAAATGCGAGATGCCCGGCGGGAAGGGTTGTCTTACCGGTTGGTTAAGTAGTCGAGAAAGTGGTCCTGTCCGAACCATTAGCAATAGCGTTCTTGCATGAGCCAGCGGGTGTCAATTGTAACAAATTTCACCAAAATATTTCCAAGAATTGCAGACTGTATGTTGAACACACTCAACGTATATGTGAAAACTTTCAGAAACATATTAGTTTGTTTATGGCAGAGCAGAGTTTGAAGCAGGGGGCCACGTAGCTTCACTTCAGTCCCTATATGTTAGAGGTTTAGTTCGAAAAAAATAACTAATCCAAGAAGTATTGAAACCGGTCCCTTAATCTATTTGCCGTTTGTTTTTTTAGATTTTTCCAATGATTTGGTCCATTAATCGCAAGTTCGAAGGAAATTATGGATAAAGGTTCGTTCGTCTTTGCATCCATTTTTTGGATCAATTTTTTTCATTTCATCATAGAGGATGCCTATATACATCGGTGAACAGTTCCAAGGACTGAGTAACAAATGAATATCTTTTTGCCGAATTCGATGCTGTTTCATAACGGAGTCTGCTTTTTTGCAAAATTGCGTGTATATGATAATGAAAACAGGGCTCGGCTTCCGTAATCATGATGTCATTTAATCTAAACCTTCTAATAAGGAACCCAGCTCTCTCATGCCAAAATTCTTATGTACAGTAGTAAATAACTTAATTGAATTGGATATCTTTAGGATGACAGCGATCTCTTGCAGATTCCCTTTTCGATTATCGAAGACGAAAGTCGAGAAGAAATAAAAAATTCAGGCTTTGTTTAATGTTTTTTGGTGTAAATACAACTTTAAGGCTGCCATTGCTTTCCACATCACCGGTGTCTGCGTAACCTTAGTAAGTCACTGTAGAAGTATGGTTATCGAAGGACTAGAATTTCCAAAGTACTTTCTAAGCTAAGCTAGAGGCCTTGAACTTCACACTTTCCGATCAAAAAACAATGTAGATATGAATATTTGGAAATAAGAAAAGCAGCTTCGCTAACCAGATCAATGTACCTCGAGACACGAATAATTTAAATTATATAAAACTTTGACAGACGTCACTTGACGTTCGTGTCACTTTCTAAATTTGATATGGACTTCTTGAAGGACAGGAAATAATTGATGGGTAGTGCTGGTAATTATTGATCGCTATTTTTTATTCTTTAATCATGTATAGCAATTTTGCTCATCAAAGGTATGGAAAATTTTCCCGTCGACCAGCAATAACGCGCTAGTTATAAATTTCACTTTAAGCGAAACTATAATTATCTTTCCTTTACTACGCCTATTTTACTAAACCCAGCAAAAACCTTAACAACTTCATTTATATGTTTTTGTTGTTGCTTCTTAAAATGATTACTACTTTTGTAAAATCTTAACCGCAGACTATTATGAGTTCTGTCATAGTCAATTACCTGCAATTATCTACGTACTACGTACTTCCAAGCGATTATACAATACATCAACTGAACCCACACATTCACGTTTTGCCTTGTAATACACGTAATTACTAATTAAACGGTCAAAAAGTTTTTGAAAGAAAGAAAAGCAAAGAAACAAAAAGAAAATAAGTAAGAAAATTATATCTGGCTTGAGACGAGTTTTAGGATATATATTCATTGTGGGTCATGTGGCGTAAAATATTTTCATTAAAATAGTTAACACATGCGACTTGTTTGTATACACAGTATATATTATATATAAACCTGTGTTTATTGCAACACTTAACATGTATGCATATATAGATGTTGTAACAATCATTTCTAATACAACATATGACATGAATAATGTACGACTTTTAGTTCAACGTTCAGTTCAGGTGGGTTGCTGTTATGGGGTAAAGTAGAACAGATTAAGGGTATCTCCAGAACGACTAGGTTAAGGGAAGTATAACCAAGAAGATTAGACCAAAACACTTCAGCATCTAGATACAGTTGAGCAAGGGGGCGCAAGATCTAAATTATATTTTGGGCGCAACCTATGCTTTAGGACGATGAGAACAAAAAAGGTTCGTTCGCTAGAATTAACAGTTATTCAGGGTATCCTTTAATAGCTGAATATGATTCAGCTTTATATTCTCATTTATTATATTATTTTTTTTTTTTGTCGATGACGAGTCATGTAGAGGATGTCCCTGACGATGACGGTTATGGAGAAAGAAGTGGGGAAAGAGAGATATGGTATGAGAGGTCTACGCGATGTATGGGACCAATTGGTAGATTTTACGTTTTGTCCGACGCAACACCATGCCCATATCCCAAACTATGCAATTAAATATTTTCTATCGTACTAGGAATTGGACTTGCTCGATGTCGATTTTTGAATGGTTTTTAAAACTAGGAGAGTTTATCGGGATGGAAGTTGCAATTATCGTGTTCTTCGAACGTGTTCACTTCTTCCAATAATAAGGCAGCAGAACTCGAACAATGCCCAAAAGAATGATCTTACATTCGTTCACTTTACAATGTGCGGTTATTTTAGTCCCGAAAAGAAGAAAATTTTAGGATTAATTCATGTTAATATTGGGAATACTAAACCAATGAGGATTCTGTTCAAAATATTTCATTATCGAATTGTAGCTTGCGACACTAATAAGGACGAGAGACTATAAGGAAAAGATATGTAAATACTGTACGATTTGAAATGGGTTTAGCTTCCATTGACTGCCTATTGTCGCTGCCATCAGATGCATTCGACGTAAATTTTTGCAGAACGCCGTGGATTCCATTTGGAATAACCGTTTAACTTGCATGAATTTAGTAATAGTTTGCATCTTTGAAGTTAGTGAGTTTTCGGCAATCGATCTTAAGTATATATAAACTTTTCTTTTTATTTCCCTCTTTAAGTGGTCTTGTGACCACTTCTGGGCATTAGTCGAATATTTAGAGCAATGCCGATGGAAAACTACTTACGCTGATGTTAGGAGGAAATGCGAAGAGATTTTACCTTTCGAGTGATGTGTTGACAGATAGACATGTGAAAGAATTTTTTATGAAAGAACGTAACTAAGAAACTAAGCAAAAAATTCGGGTTTTTCATTCGGTAAAAATGCAATGTTTGGCACACCTCGTTCTAATGTACATAGCATAGTTTTTTGATCTTTAAACCACTGGAGTTTCACAAAAAAAAGAAAAAGAAGCGAAGGCCTAAACTTGATGGTGCAGAAATTCGGAAATGAATGAATTTTAACCCTCCCATGTGCTTTCTATCTAAAGAAAATAAGAAAATTATATTTGACTTGTGGCGGATCTTTAGTAACCATCATGTCAAAATAAGAAGTAAAAATTCCAACGTATTTTGTTAATTGAAGGGAAAGTGAATTCGAAAATTCTTATCCTTTAAGAAGCTAAGCGAGATATTTAAGCGTTTAGATCAATATCTAATATGACTTTGCAAGAAGAAGTTGTCTCCTAATTCTTTGCATGATCAGACTCTCTTTCTGTCCTTGGAATCATTTTGCGTTATGGTTAATGTTTGCATAATGCGTTTTTAATAAAATAAATTGCAGGCCAAAGTCTATTACAGACTTTTTAAGAGGTTGTCTCACTGTTCCAAAATGGGCCTGTGATCATCAACCTATAGTATATACGTTCACATACTGAATTGATTGAATAGAGAAAAACAATATATCGTAGATTCGCATCCGACGAATGGCGGGACAAATCCATTATATCTTTAGTGCTAAATAGCGCATTCTAGGTTCTTCAGCGTCTACTTTCAAAAAGTCAAGAACTCTATATGAGAACATAGACGGCAGCATTAAAACAAGAGCCGAATTAGAAATGAAAAATCCGAGCGCAGTTATGTAAATCTTTTGTTTTCTAAGTAGATTCACAAAATACATACGAACACACTTGACTTTCTTTGTCAAAATTAAACAACTCAGTCGAGCTGCTCTTATAAGTGCCTCAGATTTTAAATTCAAAAAAAAAAAAACACTTTGTTTTTACATTCATTTTTTTTATTTTCCTTTTTGAATGTTTTTCATATAAAAGCTGACATGTTACGTACATGTAAAGTTCATAAAAACAATCGTAAATAATTTAGATACGCATGCAAGGCTATGTTGGCGATGGTGATTGGAAACATGATACTCTCATGTTAAACAATTAAAACGTTTTATTTTCGTTTTGGTAGTGGCAAACAAACATAAGCAAGCATATTTTTCAATAGAGATTTGAAAACGAATCCTTCATGAGACAGAATCTGTTATTTGAATAAAAAAATGTATAATTCTTAAAAATATAAATTTACGATCGTAGTGCAAATGTTTTATTAGATTTAATTTGTTTTATTATTTATGAGCTTAATTTCAAGTTTTCCCTTGTTGTAAACTCCAACGATCTGAATTTATTGAAACGAGGCAATCTGTCAG